TATATATTGCCTATGTACCACCATATAATATACATGCTTGTTTCGATCATAAGAAGGCAAATTCATAGATACTAGACATGGTAGAGTTACTTATATGAATGAGTGGTTTATCGTAAGCATGAATAAAAATAGTCTATAATACAACAGATTAAATACAACACAGCAATAATATACCCAATGGCCTGAAGAAAATGTGTGTTCATTCAAAGAAAAGGTTTTCCTATGAATTAATTAGTAGAACAGTCCATTTCTCCTGTGCATTTGTACCCCTTAGCTCTGGAGAAAGCAGCTGAGAGCCGGCTCGCATTCCACAAGGTTGTAAATGTATCGGGTTACCATGAAACCAGGGTCTTGTTCGGCGTCCTGGGGTGTTACAAAGTATTTGTGAAATCTAGCTAACAAAATATATATTGTGTGTTGGAGTGGTCCAGACGCTACATAGTGGTAAGTCAGCCAGCTAATGACTAACTTAGACCAACCAGAAATCAAATTAAGATTTACATGACCATGAGAAGATCAGTCATCATTTATCACATTTCCGTATAAATGTGAATGTGTGAAGATTTTACTGTCTGAGGTCGAAATAAAATAACAGTGGTTTTGCTGTCTGCTCTTTTTTTTCCCAGCCTGTAATGTCACCATCCACAACCGCTGCAGGGACACACTACCAAACTGTGTCAAAATGAAACAAAAGGTGGGATATTAGTGCACACACTTGTCAAATGGGTTACTTGGACCGCAGACTTGCAGACACTGGCTTTGATTCATGGTATGATGTAGAAGAAATGTAAATATCTAAATATGTCGTAAATTTGATCTGTCTGTATGTGTCACAATAGCAACAGAAACTGGCGCTGATGAGGAACAATTCAGCCTATCAGAATGTGACGCTGAGGAATAAAGGTCAGGATGTGATGGAAACAAGTGATGTTTACATCTGATATTAACATGTTTCAGGTGATCCAGTCACAAGTGGCATGTGTGTTCTGTGACTAGCTGTGATTAGATATCAGTGAGAGGATCATTTGAATATGATTGACCAAAATTGAGTAATACCAGGTCTTAACATGACATTACTCTCTTTTTTCTGCCTCTCTGAAGCCCATTTAAAGGAAAGGCCGAACTCTGCCATCTACCCATCAGACAGTCTTCGCCAGTCACTTCTGGGGTCCCGTCGCGGACGGTCTTCCCTCTTACTTTCAAAGAGCGTCTCCACCAATAACATTGCAGGGTGAGTGACAGAAATGACAGACAGATGCATAAAATGGGCTCTTGTGGGTAAAATGTACCAACAAATCACTAAATGAACAAGTCCCTTGTTTATAAATACTGTGAAAATGCCATTTAATTCACATTTCTCTTTTGTTGTTAAATATCTACAGTATATATAGAGAGACAGCTCTCATCACTGTAATTTTGATCTTTTTGTGGTTTTGTGTGTGTGTGTGTGTGTGTGTGTGTTTGTGGCTATTGCATGTTAATGTAAGCAGTTTTGTTTGAATGTTATACATTAGTCATTATTTTTTAAATTCTTTTAATATATTTTTATTTTAAATTTGTTATGCGTTTTTTTGTTTGTTTCTGTGGTGATTATGCCTGCCTCTCATTTTGTCGTATTTTGTTTTGTGTAATTTTTTTGTGTGTCTTTTGCATGGGATTGCATGCATGCGTGAACATCTGTTTGAATGCATGCACATGGTGTGTGTGTGTGTGTGTGTGCATGTGCGTGTAGGACTCTGAATGATGACTCTCCTCTGGGGCTGCGTAGGATCTTGTCTCAATCCACAGACTCACTCAACTTCAGGAGCAGAACCATGTCCATGGAGTCACTCAATGATGAGGGTGAGACACACAAAACACCACACAAGGACACACATGCATTCAAACACAGTAGATATACATTAAAATATACATAAAGGTTTGAAATAAGTACGATTTTATTAAAGAAATTAATGCTTAACCAGCATTAAAGCATTTTCTAGCATATCCATCATTTTATCACAATAAAGACATTTCTAACGTCCATAAAATATTAAGCAGCATAACTGTTTTCAACATTGATAATAATTTGAAATGTTTCTGAGCACCAAATCAGCATATTAGAATGATTTCTGGAGGATCATGTGACACTGAAAACTGGAATAATGGCTGCTGAAAATTCAGGAATAAATAACATTTTAAAATATATTACAATAGAAAACTGTTATTTTTAAATGGCTATAATATTTCATAATATTCACAATTTTTACTATGTTTTTGATCTAAATAAATGCAGCCTTGGTGACCATAAGAGACTTTGTTCAAAAACATAAAATTTTACTGACTGCAAACCTTTGAATGGTAATGTATCTTATAAATTAAATTCTTATAAAGAAAAATTTAGAGCTGCATTTTTGATTGGTGTGATTGGCTGTTGACCAGTTCCAAAATTCCATGAGCAACCTGTTTGCCTTCAAGCTGAAGTTATAATACAGAAATGGTTATTGTTATCCTTCCTTTTGCTTCTAGGAGAGGGCTACTTCACCTCACTGCTGGAAGATCTGGAGGATGAAGGCCAGGAGTTTGAAGCAGATTCCTGGAGCATGGCAGTAGATTCCACCTACTTACAGACCCACCGTAAAGATGTTATCAAGAGGCAGGACGTCATCTATGGTTAGAAAAAAGTGCAGATCCAAGTCTAAAATCAAAGTATGTTTATGACTGTAAATGGACCGTTGACTCTGAAACCCGATAAAAATGCTATTAATTGCTCCCAAATAACAGCATCTGGAATGTCTTTCCAGATGCTGTATTTACTTTTCTGAGAATGAAAATGAGCCATTGAGGGATAGATGTCTGTTCAAGTACTCTTTTAATGTCTTATATTAAAATATATTAAATAAAAAATAAATGGCCTATACCGAAATTCCACACAAAAAAATGCTAAAAGTGAATTTATGTATCACAACATTATAATGGGGATATTCACATTGAGATTTGCTTAAGATTAACATTAAGGGAGTTGTAGATGACTGAAAGGATCTAAAAATAAAAATGAAAGAAATGAGCATGTACAATGTTTTGTCGGCTGAACAATCTACACCAACGTACACAGATGGAATGAACTGTATTTCTGTGCCTTACTACCTTGTTTTCCTTCAAGTCAAATGCAATATGGTGTCTACCCTTAATAAGGACATTCATTTGGGTTACATGTCCAACAAAGGCCCATTAACTGTTGTATTTTACACCTTGACAACCTCTCCGATATCATTTCAGAGCTGATCCAGACGGAGCTCCATCACGTTCGGACCCTGCGGATCATGGATGGGGTGTTCAGGCGGGGTATGCTGGAGGAGGTGCAGCTGGAGCCGGGGGTCGTGCACGTGCTGTTCCCCTGCCTGGAGCGCTTGCTGACGCTTCACATGCACTTACTCACGCAGCTCCTCACACGTCGCGCTCACAGCCTGCAACCTGAGAGCACAAACAATTTCACCATCACTCAGATCAGCGATTTGCTAATACAACAGGTAGGAGGGCAATTGTTAGTTTAGGTGGGCGGAGTGAGTAAGCATGTGGTTACATTTGGCCTGCCTTATGTGATTTTGGATGAACGTATCGGTTTTAATTGCCAGTTTAAAGTGTGACATATAAATGAGAGCTTTCAATTTAATGCATTAATGTAAAAAAAAAATAAACAGGGTTAATCATGCCACAGTGCAACAAAATTGAATGGTTCTGGGGATGTGTTTTAAAAGGGTTTTAAAACTACTTTTAACACAGCACCTTGAAAAATATCATACATTCGTTGCATTGCAAATGCATGATTTTGTATGAGAAAAGGAGTTAAAAAGTCAAAAATAAAGAAAAAGTGACAAATGGAAATTGAAACGTCATTCTCTCTGAATATATGAGAGTGGGAGGCTGAAAGCTTTCAGGTTTCAAGGAGCAAAATGTTCATAGTGCACTGTCTTTGTGTGTACGTCAGTTCTCAGGTCAGTGCGCTGACGAGATGCTGAAGACGTATTCTGAGTTCTGCAGTCGTCATATGAAGGCTGTCAAACTCTACAAAGAGCTGCTGGCCAGAGACAAGAGACTGCAGCTCTTTATACGGGTAAGAACAAGAGTGGCGGACGAGGGTGTTTGCCGTCCGGGTGCATTTCGTGTTTGCATAACCGGGTCAGGTGTTGTCTCGTGTGTTGCTAGTGGGAGGACAGAGTGCTACTGAGTGATGAATGATGGTGGGCGGGTGCATTAATGGATTAAATGCCTGCAAACTCTCATAGATGTGTGAATCATCAGATTTCCAGGTATCATGATCATGTTCGGCTCTTGTGTTTCATTTTAGTTTGTAATAGCTTAGTGTGGGGCTGTCACGATAAACTGGTGACATGTCACAATTATCGATGCCACAGCAGTAACTACTATGCTAATGAAAGCATTCCTTTTATTTAAAAAGTTAAATATTGTCAGAGCAGTGATGTGGAAGGTGTTGGGCCCATGGTGAGACCCATGTTTGTCTGTCAACTTTCTTGTCAAAATCTCTGCTTTCCTATTTTAATAAAGACAGAAAGCCAACAAAAGATTTAAATATTAATATAAATATTAACAATTTAGGGATGTGTCAGCAGTAAGCTTCTGTTAAATCTCTGGTAAATATCTGATATTGTTAACAAATTATATTAATAATTAATAACAACAACAATAATATTTATTTGTTTGTTTGTTTGTATCAGCATCAAAAGTCTTTTTTTTCAGCAAAATCAAAAGTATTTTAAAGAAGATTCTGACTGAAATATGTACTATGTTATATATTGTTTATATATTTACTATATTATATATTGCAAAAATTTTTGTCTGATACTATTAAATGGCTGATATTAAATTAATAAATTCATTAATTTTAATAATAATAACTAATTTCGGTAGTAGTAGTAGTATTACATTTCTTCTATTGCCATATCAGCATCAAAAGCTATTTTCATTGCAAGATTGAAAGAATTTTAAAACAAAAAATACTGGCCAAAAAGAAAATGTATACTATATTATTATATAATTTTTTTTATAGTTATTACTAAATATAAAATAAACACCAATAAATGTACATTTGTTGTAAATGCGACGAGTGAATTTAGGCATCTCTACATTAGAATGTACAGTATGAAAAATGGATTTGTCTTTGGGAAAGTTTTCAAGTACTTTTAAGTAATTTTATTACAGTCAGACTTCTATTTATAAATGAGTGTTTTAGTCATTAAATATTTGCTGGGTTAGCTTTAAGCTCACTAAATTAGTTCTAGCTTATTAGACATGATGTTATGATGCCTGTCTAAAACCAGTGTTCTTTAAGTGCCTTCATACACAAATCTGGCTGACTGCTGTAGATTTTTGACACAACCTTAAAGTGTGTTTAGTTACCAGTCCATTTATCATTGTCTTTGTCTCTCTCAGAGGGTGAGTCGGCGTCCTCTACTGCGTCGTCACGGGTACCAGGAGTGCATCCTATTGGTCACTCAGCGCATCACTAAATACCCTGTTCTGGTGCAGCGTATCTATGACAACACCAAAGGTAAGACACAGGCATATAAATGTTGCCAATGTCAATATATAACTGTATTCCAATAGCTGCTCACCTCCGGCCTTCCTTCCACAGTCTATAAACTTGTCAGTGTCCCTTTAATATAATATGTATAATTTAAAAATTATTTTAAATTTAAGAAATTTTTATTATTTATATACGTCATAAAATGCCCCTGGTTATGGACTTTTTAGATTGACTTTTGTGTGTAACAATGCAGACAATCCAGAGGAAGCTGCAGGTCTGTCTCAGTCACTGTCTTGTATGCGGGAGCTGCTCTGTTCGGTGGACCAGCAGGTGTTGGAGCTTGAAAGGACACAGCGGCTGCAGGAGATCCGGTCCAGGGCTGACCCTCGGGCCGAGGCCAAACTTCGCTCCGGAGCCCTGTTCAGACCAGCCGAACTGCTCCGCAGGCAGCTGATACATGAAGGCACGCTGCTCTGGAAAACACCCAGCTCTCGCCTCAAAGGTAGCGAAGACTGTGGCTGTTTATGAGGAAGTGTGATGTGATATGTGTCTGTGTGAGAGGAAGAGAGACACACATGTTATTGTATTAGCTGACATGTAATGTGCTGTGGATGTTTTAATGTACAGAATTTCCTGTTTTCTTTGTGTTCTAGATGTTCAGGTTATGTTGATGACTGATATTCTAGTATTCTTGCAAGAGAAAGATCAACGGTTCATCTTTGCTAGTTTGGTAAGTTACTTTGCAATTATTAAAGTATTAAACTTTTGCATGTAACTTGCTGTGATAACCCATTTTACTAAGAGGAATGTGCTGTTTGTAAAAAATATTTGTGCACAGATAACAATATTTATTTTCTTCTCATTCTCTCTGTAGGATAAGTCTGCTGTGGTCTCACTGCAGACTCTCTTGGTCCGAGACATAGCCAATCAGGAGCGAGGCTTGTTCCTGATCAGCAGTGAGTCCAGCCCACCTGAGATGTACGAGCTCTATGCGGCATCTAAAGACGACAGAAACACCTGGATACGGCTCATACAGCAAACCATCAGCAGGTAAATGCATGCAAAAACACGCTCTTTACAGTCCACACAGCACCCACAGCTGCCATTTGACTTTTTTTGCCATCTCTCTTTGCAATTGAATGGAAAATCCCATGAAAGCACTTTTCTGTATTGTTCCTTTGTATTTTCTCTTGAATCAGGATGTTGGGGCGGGACATTTCGAAGGGATATGTCAGTTCTGTGGGAAGCTTGACTTGCCAATATCCTTTGTTTACGTTACAGCTCAGCAAAAACAAACTTCACAGCTTGCGAGGGGCACCTTTGCAAAAAATATAAAGACATCTAAGAAAAGATACCAAGTGACAAATGGAAATTGAAACGTCATTCTCTCTGAATATATGAGAGTGGGAGGCTGAAAGCTTTCAGGTTTCAAGGAGCAAAATGTTCATAGTGCACTGTCTTTGTGTGTACGTCAGTTCTCAGGTCAGTGCGCTGACGAGATGCTGAAGACGTATTCTGAGTTCTGCAGTCGTCATATGAAGGCTGTCAAACTCTACAAAGAGCTGCTGGCCAGAGACAAGAGACTGCAGCTCTTTATACGGGTAAGAACAAGAGTGGCGGACGAGGGTGTTTGCCGTCCGGGTGCATTTCGTGTTTGCATAACCGGGTCAGGTGTTGTCTCGTGTGTTGCTAGTGGGAGGACAGAGTGCTACTGAGTGATGAATGATGGTGGGCGGGTGCATTAATGGATTAAATGCCTGCAAACTCTCATAGATGTGTGAATCATCAGATTTCCAGGTATCATGATCATGTTCGGCTCTTGTGTTTCATTTTAGTTTGTAATAGCTTAGTGTGGGGCTGTCACGATAAACTGGTGACATGTCACAATTATCGATGCCACAGCAGTAACTACTATGCTAATGAAAGCATTCCTTTTATTTAAAAAGTTAAATATTGTCAGAGCAGTGATGTGGAAGGTGTTGGGCCCATGGTGAGACCCATGTTTGTCTGTCAACTTTCTTGTCAAAATCTCTGCTTTCCTATTTTAATAAAGACAGAAAGCCAACAAAAGATTTAAATATTAATATAAATATTAACAATTTAGGGATGTGTCAGCAGTAAGCTTCTGTTAAATCTCTGGTAAATATCTGATATTGTTAACAAATTATATTAATAATTAATAACAACAACAATAATATTTATTTGTTTGTTTGTTTGTATCAGCATCAAAAGTCTTTTTTTTCAGCAAAATCAAAAGTATTTTAAAGAAGATTCTGACTGAAATATGTACTATGTTATATATTGTTTATATATTTACTATATTATATATTGCAAATTTTTTTGTCTGATACTATTAAATGGCTGATATTAAATTAATAAGTTCATTAATTTTAATAATAATAACTAATTTCGGTAGTAGTAGTAGTATTACATTTCTTCTATTGCCATATCAGCATCAAAAGCTATTTTCATTGCAAGATTGAAAGAATTTTAAAACAAAAAATACTGGCCAAAAAGAAAATGTATACTATATTATTATATAATTTTTTTTATAGTTATTACTAAATATAAAATAAACACCAATAAATGTACATTTGTTGTAAATGCGACGAGTGAATTTAGGCATCTCTACATTAGAATGTACAGTATGAAAAATGGATTTGTCTTTGGGAAAGTTTTCAAGTACTTTTAAGTAATTTTATTACAGTCAGACTTCTATTTATAAATGAGTGTTTTAGTCATTAAATATTTGCTGGGTTAGCTTTAAGCTCACTAAATTAGTTCTAGCTTATTAGACATGATGTTATGATGCCTGTCTAAAACCAGTGTTCTTTAAGTGCCTTCATACACAAATCTGGCTGACTGCTGTAGATTTTTGACACAACCTTAAAGTGTGTTTAGTTACCAGTCCATTTATCATTGTCTTTGTCTCTCTCAGAGGGTGAGTCGGCGTCCTCTACTGCGTCGTCACGGGTACCAGGAGTGCATCCTATTGGTCACTCAGCGCATCACTAAATACCCTGTTCTGGTGCAGCGTATCTATGACAACACCAAAGGTAAGACACAGGCATATAAATGTTGCCAATGTCAATATATAACTGTATTCCAATAGCTGCTCACCTCCGGCCTTCCTTCCACAGTCTATAAACTTGTCAGTGTCCCTTTAATATAATATGTATAATTTAAAAATTATTTTAAATTTAAGAAATTTTTATTATTTATATACGTCATAAAATGCCCCTGGTTATGGACTTTTTAGATTGACTTTTGTGTGTAACAATGCAGACAATCCAGAGGAAGCTGCAGGTCTGTCTCAGTCACTGTCTTGTATGCGGGAGCTGCTCTGTTCGGTGGACCAGCAGGTGTTGGAGCTTGAAAGGACACAGCGGCTGCAGGAGATCCGGTCCAGGGCTGACCCTCGGGCCGAGGCCAAACTTCGCTCCGGAGCCCTGTTCAGACCAGCCGAACTGCTCCGCAGGCAGCTGATACATGAAGGCACGCTGCTCTGGAAAACACCCAGCTCTCGCCTCAAAGGTAGCGAAGACTGTGGCTGTTTATGAGGAAGTGTGATGTGATATGTGTCTGTGTGAGAGGAAGAGAGACACACATGTTATTGTATTAGCTGACATGTAATGTGCTGTGGATGTTTTAATGTACAGAATTTCCTGTTTTCTTTGTGTTCTAGATGTTCAGGTTATGTTGATGACTGATATTCTAGTATTCTTGCAAGAGAAAGATCAACGGTTCATCTTTGCTAGTTTGGTAAGTTACTTTGCAATTATTAAAGTATTCAACTTTTGCATGTAACTTGCTGTGATAACCCATTTTACTAAGAGGAATGTGCTGTTTGTAAAAAATATTTGTGCACAGATAATATTTATTTTCTTCTCATTCTCTCTGTAGGATAAGTCTGCTGTGGTCTCACTGCAGACTCTCTTGGTCCGAGACATAGCCAATCAGGAGCGAGGCTTGTTCCTGATCAGCAGTGAGTCCAGCCCACCTGAGATGTACGAGCTCTATGCGGCATCTAAAGACGACAGAAACACCTGGATACGGCTCATACAGCAAACCATCAGCAGGTAAATGCATGCAAAAACACGCTCTTTACAGTCCACACAGCACCCACAGCTGCCATTTGACCTTTTTTGCCATCTCTCTTTGCAATTGAATGGAAAATCCCATGAAAGCACTTTTCTGTATTGTTCCTTTGTATTTTCTCTTGAATCAGGATGTTGGGGCGGGACATTTCGAAGGGATATGTCAGTTCTGTGGGAAGCTTGACTTGCCAATATCCTTTGTTTACGTTACAGCTCAGCAAAAACAAACTTCACAGCTTGCGAGGGGCACCTTTGCAAAAAATATAAAGACATCTAAGAAAAGATACCACTTATACTATGTGGGAAAAATAGTAAGAGTGACATTACAGGGGCAATAATGTCTAATAATGTATTTAGTTAGTTAGTAGTACTAGTTTTAATATTATTAATATTTATAATTAATAATTTAATAGTGGTAATGGTTATTTTATTCTTCATATTACTATTACTATTCATAAGAATAATAATGATGTACTGTTATATTATTTATATAATTATTTAAAAATGTTATTATTATTATTTATTAATTATTAATAATTATTTATATTTATGTTTTTTTTTATTCTGTTTTTACACACAAAAAAAATCATCCTAATACCCTTTTGCTGCCCCCCTGGAAGTCCCCGGACTGCAGTTTTAAAACCCCCTGCTATACAATGACACTTTCAAAATGATAAATTCTAACCACTTCCTTCAGAAAAAAAATTAATTAGCAAAGAAAGTGCAAGCATTAGTCCATTTTCAGTTTCATTCAAAAACTGTATAAAGTGACTAATACTTTTGGTATTTTCCCAGAAGAGAAAGACTGTACATTTTAAATTTGTATACTTGTTAAATGCAGGGGCACAAGTGTATATGACTATTATTTATTAATTATTAATAATTATTTATATTTATGGTTTTTTTTATTCTGTTTTTGCACAAAAAAAAAATCATCCTAATACCCTTTTGCTGCCCCCCTGGAAGTCCCCGGACTGCAGTTTTAAAACCCCCTGCTATACAATGACACTTTCAAAATGATAAATTCTAACCACTTCCTTCAGAAAAAAAATTAATTAGCAAAGAAAGTGCAAGCGTTAGTCCATTTTCAGTTTCATTCAAAAACTGTATAAAGTGACTAATACTTTTGGTATTTTCCCAGAAGAGAAAGACTGTAAATTTTAAATTTGTATACTTGTTAAATGCAGGGGCACAAGTGTATATGACTGAAGTGCTAATGGACATCCACTAAAAGGCACTAAACTACCATTTCTAATGGTCATTCTCATTTACCTTCATTGTTTTGTCACACAGCTGTCCATCAAGAGAACAATTCCCTCTTATAGAAACAGAGGACAAGGCCCTTCTGCGAAGACTCAAAGGTTTGCTTTAATCACTAACGCACACACATTCACACTCCCAACACTGGGACAAACACGTTTTCATTCAGATTTTTTTCAAAAGATGAATCACTACTGTATGTTAAGGATTGATAGAAGCATAAAATTGTTCTGAAAAGCTCAAAAGAGCTTTCATCCATCTGTCAGATCAGTTGGTTATCTATCACAAGGCATTTTCTCGAAACAAACAAGCCAGCTAGTAAAAAAAAAAAAGTCTTGACATGTACAGATTTCTATGCGCCTTGACATCTTTACACTGAATTTGAAGGCAGAACAAAGCCACTATCTTGAGTGTAAAGAAGCTAACAGTAGTGTCTGATGTTCATATATTCATATAAAAAGCAAAAGTTTCAGAATTGTAACAATTAAAAACATTTCAGATATATAAAATGTTGACCCAGCCTCTGAATAAATAAATGACAGATCAACTATTTTTTTGTTGTATTTTATATTTGATTTAGTTTGTATAGATTAAAAATCTTTAAATATCTAAAAAATATATTTTAAATATAAAATGATTCAAAATAAAGATATTAAAATATAATAAAATTCATACTTGCTGCCAAATGCACCTCTGTCTCTTTTTATTTAAAAAACTAAAAAAAGTTTAATCATATTTTTTTTCCTATTATGGAAAGTTCACAGACCATTTTAACTAAATCTTCTGAGCTCATGCTCAGATCTTCAATAATATCTTGTAAAATGTCATAATGTACCTTTCTCTCGCTCTCTGCAGTGGACAGATTGACAGAGCTGTTATTAGGATCCAATTTTGAGGTTCCTCTGCCCTGCAGTTCCAACGGCCATCACAACCACACTGGAGCGCTAGTAATCAGTAGGTGTCAAATACACAACACGCAATATGTAAATGAGTGTGCTTTTAGTGTGTCTGATTGGCTAACTATACCTTTTTATCTGACCATTGTGCTTCCTCCATTCTTCTAGATGGACAAGAGGTATTAGTCAATGGCTCTCAGGAGAACCAAGCTACTCAGGTACACAAAACTAACATAGTTTTGTCAGAAAATAAGCTTATTATTTTAATCTTTGTTAGCGAGTTGTTCATTATCACACTTCTTGGCATCCACATTCGGCTGCGTCAAATATGCTTCATAAAATGTAATAATTATGCACATAGATGATTCGATGGTATTGCTGACTTTTTATGTAATCCTGGAAAAAGAAATTAGTCATTTTCCGAGCCCATCTGAAACTCACAGGTTTCCATAGCAACCTGAATCTACCAAAAACTCTCCATCACGACTCAGCACTGGTGCTTGAAAGCTGCGCTTCATCTCCCTTGTCATCGACACATAGCAAGACAGTGCTTTTCAATGTGTGCTGACAAATGAAAGCTTTTTGAATTCATTTGCTGGTTCAGAATTTTGATTGTGTGAATAATGCAAAAACTTCTCTATTCTCTACAGGATGGTAATGGGAATCAAATGGAGGACAAGACACCAAGTGAGGTACTGACATTTTAGGCTTAATGTGTGCTGCCTAGGGATGTGCTGATTATATATCAGCACATATATAACACTAACCGATTATTTTACTTTCTGCATTAGAATCCTTTAAATTGGAGTGACTAGAAAATGAATAATAATAAAACACACTTACACACAAAATAGCAGGTGATTAAAAGCTTATAATCTGAATTTTGAAATACATATAGACAATGTAGAAAACTCCTAACTTTTGCTTTTTAATTCACTGACAAATTAGAAAACTTTGGATCAGTAACTAATTTTATTCAGCAAGGATGCATTAAGTTGATCAAAGTGACAGTAAAGACATTTATATGTCTATTTATTTAAATGTTACAAAAGATTTTTATTTCAAATAAATGTTTTTTTTTTTTACTTTCTATTCATCAATGAGTCCTGAATACTTTTAACATTGATAATAAGAAATGTTTCTTGCACAGCAAATCAGCATATTAAAATGATTATTTGGAGTAACGACTGGAGTAATGGCTGTTGAAAATGTAGTTTTGCCATCACATGAATAAATTATATTTTAAAATGTATTAAAATATAAAACAATTATTTCAAATTATAAACCAATGCTTCAACATGGGCTGAGGATCTTCACCTAGTGATGCATGAGACTGATTATGTCTTATGTTACAAAAAGTGCACATAAAAGCAAGCAGTCCATAACACATGATTAGGTGAAATGATCGGCTGCAATTCCATGATTGATATGAATTAGTTTTTAAATTTTACGAGTTATATGCAAAAAATATCGCCCTCCACAATACTGTGCATCACTAGTTTCCTATAAATATTTCAAGGCCACCTAAATTTCAACGCTTATTTAGACTAGTGTGTGTTTTTATATATTTATTATTTCTATTTATACATTATATTACTATTTTTTTTGTTATGTTTTGCATCTGAATGTCTTTTTTGTGTTCCAGGAGGTGTCACAGAGGCTGGTGAATCTCAGTGCTCAGTTACACGCTTTACAGGTATGTGTGCATTGCAAAATACATTTGTCAGATTTTCTTCAAAGCACTGATGTACCTACGGGATTCCAAATGAACTCAATGAGGCCAAAAACTCATCCTCTCCCAGGGTGTGGTGATACGACAGGACTCCATCTTGGAGCTCTGCCTACGAGAGAGCTCTGTCTCCCCGGCCACCGCAGGGGCTCGTACAGTTCGCTCCCTGTCCCGGGATGGTGCGAGTGACTTTGGCTCGCTGGGAGAGCTGGCCCTGCTTCAACGGCAGCACAGTCTGCTGCAGGAGGAGCTTGTACGCCTCAGGGGAGCCGAGGGAAAACTCAGGCACAGCGAGAGAGCCAGAGCCCAGCTGGAGAAACAGCTCAGGGATCTTAAGACTAATAGCGTCACTCTAGGGGATGGAGCTGGAAATGCAGGCTCACAGGTGAGTTCATTTTAGAGTGTTTAGAGTAAGTTTTTATTCTAAAGCAGAATTTAAATTCATTTTTGCACTCAGAAGCAATGTTGGACAAGACGGATCTCAGTGCTCTTGAAGTAAACACCACATGACACATACAAAAGTATGTAAGAGCTACAATGTAGTATCTCCCAAATCTCATTCGCTTCTCATTTCCTCTTTTCAAGGCCCCATCAACTCGCAGAGAGAGCGATACTGACAACCCATTGGCTAGCCAGGAGTCGATGGACCAATCAGACGGCCTGCAGGAATGCAGTGATGTGGAAGTGGATGTGATATCTGATGAAGATGATGATGACGAGGTGGATTCGAGGGTGTCTCCCCGTTCAGAAAGTCCCAGAGGTCTGTAGATTGACACAGAATGACATTATTAGAACCAATATAAATACATATACACTGACATAAATATAATATAGAAATAAAATATTTATTTATAGTATGTTTATAATTAATATAATATAAAATAAGTATAAATAAATTTATATATAAATATATATTTATATGTATTTGTAATTAAAGGGGTGGTTCATTGCGATTTCACTTTTTTAACGTTAGTTTGTGTGTAATGTTGCTGTTTGAGCATAAACAATATCTGCAAAGTTACGAAGCTGAAAGTTCAATGCAAACGGAGATATCGTCTTTTAAAATTCTGGCAGTTTAATGCCTATAAAAACGGTTCGTAGGGACTACAACAAGTTACTTCCCAGGTTCGTGACATAACAAACCCCGATAAACCCCACCCTCGGGAAAAGGCAACAAAGGGGGAGAGGCCATGCTGCGCTGCTTTAGAGAAGAGGAAGAGAAATCTATTCATATATGAATCGCGATTCTGTCTTCTAAAGATTCTAATGGATTCACAAGTTTCAAAATCAGTGTTCTAAAGCAGCGGATCTTAATAATGTAAAAAAGACTTGCCTCCCCCTGCTCTGCACACATCTCTCTCTCTCTCTCTCTCTCTATCTCTCATTCTGCTCAGCTCCAGCAATGAACTGTTACAATTATACACTTATTTTCACATAGCTATGAGAAGCGTTAAACATGGAATCGGATCACATGCCGCTGAGGTGAGGGGCGGGACGTTTAGACGCGCACTTGAGGCGGTTTAGCCAATCACAACACAATGGGCTAGCTAACCAATCAGAGCCCATCGCCTATTTCTTAGGGAGGGGCTTCATAAAAGAAGGAAATGATCAGCATGTTTCTCAGAAAAGGGACAGAGAGGTATGGAATAAAGGTAAATTATGTGAAAAATAATGCGTTTTGAGAGAGCGATACTGACAACCCATTGGCTAGCCAGGAGTCGATGGACCAATCAGACGGCCTGCAGGAATGCAGTGATGTGGAAGTGGATGTGATATCTGATGAAGATGATGATGACGAGGTGGATTCGAGGGTGTCTCCCCGTTCAGAAAGTCCCAGAGGTCTGTAGATTGACACAGAATGACATTATTAGAACCAATATAAATACATATACACTGACATAAATATAATATAGAAATAAAATATTTATTTATAGTATGTTTATAATTAATATAATATAAAATAAGTATAAATAAATTTATATATAAATATATATTTATATGTATTTGTAATTAAAGGGGTGGTTCATTGCGATTTCACTTTTTTAACGTTAGTTTGTGTGTAATGTTGCTGTTTGAGCATAAACAATATCTGCAAAGTTACGAAGCTGAAAGTTCAATGCAAACGGAGATATCGTCTTTTAAAATTCTGGCAGTTTAATGCCTATAAAAACGGTTCGTAGGGACTACAACAAGTTACTTCCCAGGTTCGTGACATAACAAACCCCGATAAACCCCACCCTCGGGAAAAGGCAACAAAGGGGGAGAGGCCATGCTGCGCTGCTTTAGAGAAGAGGAAGAGAAATCTATTCATATATGAATCGCGATTCTGTCTTCTAAAGATTCTAATGGATTCACAAGTTTCAAAATCAGTGTTCTAAAGCAGCGGATCTTAATAATGTAAAAAAGACTTGCCTCCCCCTGCTCTGCACACATCTCTCTCTCTCTCTCTCTCTCTATCTCTCATTCTGCTCAGCTCCAGCAATGAACTGTTACAATTATACACTTATTTTCACATAGCTCTGAGAAGCATTAAACATGGACGCGCGTGCAGTTGCCTTACTGTATTAAAGCTTTAATCAGGATAAAACTGTATATTAAAAGCTAACATAAGCAGTAGCATTTACAAATAACAGCGTATCTAAAAGTATGAGACAACAAGGCCTACCATTAAAAGCCGTGCTTGCACAGATTCTGCACGATCCTCTTCAATAATATCCTCTGCTTCTCAATCGGGCTCAAACTGATAAGCGATATTAACGATGCCGTTGTTTACAATACAGCCGGATCGGATCACATACCGCTGAGGTGAGGGGCGGGACGTTTAGACGCGCACTTGAGGCGGTTTAGCCAATCACAACACAATGGGCTAGCTAACCAATCAGAGCCCATCGCCTATTTCTTAGGGAGGGGCTTCATAAAAGAAGGAAATGATCAGCATGTTTCTCAGAAAAGGGACAGAGAGGTATGGAATAAAGGTAAATTATGTGAAAAATAATGCGTTTTAAAAAAAAAACGAAGCATTAACACGTTAGACTGCACCCCATAAACACAATCAAGCCTAGAAAAAAAACTGTGAACCACCCCGTTAATATAATATAAAATAATATAATAGTTTTTCAAAAGCAAAAATAATTTATATATAGATATATTCTTATTATCAGTATATAAATATACAGTAAATATCGATTTGAGTTGAAATTATTATGAGGGCAAACAAGACTGGTACAGGCAGAGTGATACAAGAGACTAGCAACTGATCTGATTTAGCTTTTTTTATATGAAATGATTACATATTTATCAGACAGTCTGCATAGATGTGCTTCATTTAGAACGCTGTAAACTTTGGCCCTTTGTAACACTAACAGCAGCCTACACACGATTATGCAACCGATGTGCACAACACAGATACACATGGAATCGATCACATTAAACTTTCCACACTCACCCACACACACAAAGTACGCAAATGTACAAACACACACTAAACTCTGTCAGACAGGAGAACATTCAAAAAAATCTACATTTATGTGTATTATTTGTAGGCATGTGTGTTGTAGGTGGATAATGGCAATAAATTGTAGGTCTCAATAAACGCAACCAGAGCTTTAGTGGGTCATTCACGTTGAACATATCTTTTGTACATACACTTACATACACAGAAGGCTTGACTTTTAAAGCCCCTTGAGATGAAATAACTTCAGTCTTGAGGTGTGTTTGAAATAGCATACTACTCATGCTGCATGTGGAAGGGTTTAGCATGCAGTATAATAATAGAGTAGTAATATAATAACAATAATAAATACTTTTATTCAGCACGGATGCATTAAATTGTTCAAAAGTGACAATTTAAAGACATTTATAATATTACAAAATATTTTTATACTTTATATTCATTAAAGAATCCTAAAAAATGTATCACGGTTTTCAGAAAAATATTAGGCAGAGTAATGATGCTGAAAATTCAGCTTTGCATCACAGGAATAAATTACATTTTAAAATATATTTAAATAGAATTGTAAAAATATTTCACAGTATAATTTTTTTTTTTTACTGTATGTTTGATCTTACTAACCCTAATCCTTTGAGTGGTAGTACAAGTTTAAATTTTTTGAATGATCCCCTGTGTGTATGAATGATGATGAAAGTGTCTAGGTAAGTATGTTGCTAAGGTAACAAAGTGTTGTGTGCAAGCATGTGCACTGGATTACGCTGAAAAAAAATTATTGGTCATAAATATTTCGGACCAACCTTAAAACTGTATTTTGTGTTATTTTTAAAGAAAAATATATATGAAAATGAATTACCTAGCTGTTTTTCCATGACATATTTTCGCTGAGGATCTGACATGATTTAAACCATGTATTATGAAACGGATCGTTCCGGTCCTTGATTCTGATTGGTTGAGCCACGTTCAAAGCCGTTGTAAATTACTACAAACATACACCTTTGTTTACTTTGTGTTGCTTGGCAACCACTCTGTTGCAACCACAACGGTTTCTGAGGAACTACATTGTTTGGTGGAAGAATACTGTTTTTATTAATATCATTACACTTTATTTGCTCTGTTTTATTTTGTGAAACCTAGCTACGTATATGGAATAACCGTTTTATAAAAGCTCCGCTTCACATCGTACCTAACAACGTCCCTTAGCTGTTATAAATTCACTGTAAACCATGGCTTCTTGGGGCTTATTGCTTTATTATTATGTTGCAGTTTGTGAAGTTTACAGACCAGCTGTCCAGTAAATTTTAACTTGCATTTGGCTTATCGAGTGTTCGATATCTTAGGCCCCGTCCACACGGAGACGCGTTTAGCTGTATCTGTAATTTTGTATCGTACAGGCGTTTCGTCCACATGGATCCAGTGTCATGAGAAATCGAGTCCCCCCTCGAAATTGGATCTGCTTAGGCCCCCGAGTGATCCCATTGGTTCAACGAACTTTTAATGGGTATTATTTTTAGCGCCTGATTACAATTCCTGCAAAATCGCGCTTTAATTTATGTTGTTTGAACTTCGTTATAATGACCATTAATGTCTTTTAAATTGCATGTTTCATACACTAGTATCCGAAGCTATAGGTTGTGAAATCAAACATTTCTCGGTTTTATAGTTTTTTTTTGGTTAGCTCACGTACTAGCATAGCATACAGCTACCCGATTAGCCTGCTAGGTTAGCTTATACACCACGCATTTGCACTTACCATACATATATTCACAACGAAATAGTAACATAAGTGTTGACTTTTGATCAGGCATTTAAAACGGCTACCGCCCTGGTCCTAAGCAGACCCGATTTCGAGGGGGGACTTGATTTCTCATGACACCGGCGTTTTGGGAGAGTGAAACCAATATTTTTTGAAACCGGGTCCCAGAGTGGATCAATCTGAAAATGCCGCCCTTGCGTTTTCGTGTGGACAGCGAATCCGTATATTTTCTGAAACGATGACGTAATCAGCCCACGTCTCGCCCCCAGTCAGACACCGCTACGTCACGTAACAGCAACAAAACATGAACAAACACTGAATGATTGTCTTTTTATTAACTAACATTAACACATTGTTCCAACATTGTTCCATGTTCGTTTGTATACTGCGCACAAGGTTTATGCGCATAGTCCAAGTCTTCTTCTCCGTTTTTAGTGTATCTCTGTGGCAGAATTACAGCGCCACATGCTGGTCTGGCATGTATGCTACATCGTTTTGTGTCGGTTTCGTGGTTTCGTGTGGACGCAGATATTTCTTGAGACGAGGGGAAAAAACAATCGGGTAGGGAAAGCTCTGGCTTCGTGTGAACGAAGCCTTAGATAACTTTACAGTACACTTTACAGATATAAATGATATTCTCAAGAAGCAATTCATTTCATCTAGATCATTTGGTAAAATTCCAAAGCATCTGAACTTAAAACTGCCTTTAATATCTAAATATGCTTTAATTTTTCATAATTTTTTTACTTCATTTTCTTCTACAGATCTGCAGGACATTCCTGAAGAGAGCGAATGTGCTACAGACCCCCGGGACCGCGAGGTCTCGCACTGCTAATATTTCTCAACCCAAGACTTGCCTGTTGTCCGATGGAACAGACTATAGACTCCATGAGGAGGTCTTCCTCCGAACAGGGAAGATTCTTACTTAGTTTATGAATATTCATTTCATTATATACATACAGTATTTAGTCGTATCCAGTAATTTTGCTTATAGCTTCTGTGTGGCCGTTTATGACATGTTAATATTCAACATGTCTTCTTGGAATCCAATCATATGGCTTTTGACATCCACGGACCAATAAGTATATGCCATGCAAATAATGGGACTTTGCACTTGATAACGGCATGAAATGGTCTTGGGATTCAGTAAGAATCTTAAGATTAACCAAATCAACCAAACATAAGTGATCCAGCTCAAGGGTACCGGCAGAAACCAGTCAAATTGATGTACTGTATGTGCTTTGTACCGATTCTACACGTGCTGGAGCACGCAAAACAAGAATAGAGCTTCTTTTTTAAGTGGAACTTGTTTGTGTGAGAGGTCATTGTAAAGAAATGTCTCTTTCTTGCGCTTTATTTTGAATTTATTTATTTTTCTTTGTTTTAAATGGAACGTTAAATTGTCTTTCGAGCATGCCAGAGCAGTTAGAAAGAAGCCATAGCTTGAAATATACCAACGTAATAGACTGGGACCAAAACTACTGGCTAAATAACAAAAAACTATTTTCAGAGACTTGAGGGCTTTTTTAGGAAGGAATTATATTGCCGTTTATAGCAATATATATTAGAAATATATTTACATCTATAGCAAAGAACTTAATAAACCCAGGAAGGTTATTATGATATTATAAATGGTTCCTCAGCCCACAGTGTGCGTTAACGGGGAATACTTTGTAAATATAAGAAGATTTATTGACTAAAATAAATCACATCTCCAAAATTTGCCAGTAACACCAACAACATTTGATGTGTCTTACTACAGTTTTGCTTATGTTTGAATTTTAAGAATGTTTTTTGCAATTACTTGACTGTGTGCCAAAATTCGCTTGGCTGAATATTGCTGAGATATATTATGCTTTTATTTTAGTCAGTTCAACATTTCAGGAAGCAATGTCTTAGAAATTATTGTAGGATGATATTCTTCATGTTTTGAAGTAACTATAAGAAACATAGGAATTACTCAAGTCACATCAAAATGTTTATATGAATCATGACAGAAACATTGTTGAAATGTTCATACAGTGTTTCAGATATATTGAAGTGGATATAGAATACAGTTGAAGAATTAAAACTGTTGATATACAACAATATTGGATTGGTTTGTTGTCTTTCATTTGTGTGTGTGAGTAAATCAATGTGAAAAGTGTGACGTAAATAGTAATATTAACAGGACCGTAAATTGTCATCATTTACTCATCATACTCAACCTCATGTTGTTCTAAATCTGTATTTAAAAAAAAAAAATTCTGTTGAACATAAAATAAGACATCTTGAAGAATGTTGATACCCAAAAAGTTGCTTGTAGCCATTAACTTCCAGAGTATTTTTTTTTCATGCTATGGAAATCAATGGCTACCGGCAACTGTTTGGTTACCAACATTCTTGAAAATATCTTCTTTTGCGTTCAACAGAAGAAAGAACAATGTACATTTTTGGGTGAACTATCCTCCAAAATCATTCTCAGTACAAACTGATCTCGTGAGAAAACTATTTTATTTTGTGGTAATTGGTGGCGAACTTGTACGTATCGTATGTTTTCATTTGTAATAATTAATTAATTTTTAGAAAAAATGTGAACCTGAAGGTCAACTCCTAAACTAACCATTAGTGGAGAGTAAGCAAATCATATCAAAAGTTATGAGATCAAACAAGTTCATACAAATTCGGCACAATACGCCAAAATGAATTCTGATTTGCCATGAGAGTGTGTTTGTATGAAACCTTTAGCATCAGCTGTGGAGTGGGGTTTGTATCCCAATTGACTAATCAGAATTGAGTGTTCCAAAAATCTCTTGATATTTATCATATACAAACAGATTTTAGTAAGTTCTATCATTATTTTCATAATAAAACATGTACATTTAAATTCATATGTGCATTTACATATCAAGATCCATCTGAATCTAGATCTTTGTCTGAGGCTAGCAGCTAATCCACAAAACAATGTAAGCCAAAAATAGGAGTATTAATAGCTTGGTGGCACAGGCAGCATAGCTGGCATTCAGACGCGTGCGCACACACACATATATATATATATATATATATATATATATATATATACTACCTCATCCACAACTTTATTTTCCTAAACTAAA